TCCTCTAAAATTTACAGCTACCGGACAATCTTATCTATCTATCTACGACTCGATGGAGCGTGTGCTCTCGAAGCTGCTATATCCGGACGTAATTATTTTCTTGCGGATCGCGGCCCGCGCCGTCGATCGCCGATTGGCATAATCGCGGAGAAATTCTGCCTGGGACAATAATTCGTGCTAAATATAGGTAGCGCGTGCTGCGCGTACATTGGCGTACTATGAGCTTATAGGAGAATGGAAAAAGAGAAGGAAGAGGAAAAAAAGGGAAGAAACGGATTCTTGAGTTTCTTGCTCTGCTCTCGCCGATGAAGCCCCAACTTGAGGACGCCATCGATGATGATGATGATGATGATGATGATGATGATGATGATGATGATGATGATGATGATGATGTCGACTAGCGGTGTGATTTCTGAATTCTTCAGTGGAGCTGCTGAAGAAGGTGAAACGGCTGCGCACGTATCGCCAGCGTGATACTGAGGAGTCTAGCCGATTACCACCTGCAGTCGCGGCTAGATTATGATCCTTATTACGCTGACTATATTTAAGTCTACATCTAGTCTCGTGGTCTAACTGCAACGATCTTTAGATTCTCAGATAACTTCCTCGCCCTCATCTCGTGTCTGACAGAGCAACAGGACGATCGTTCTGAACGAAGCTAATAGGTTGCTCGCCACGTGTAAATTGATAGACGGGCGTGTATCGTCAGAAAAAGAGATTATAATTCTATCTGCGAGCCATTAACCTGATAGCAAATGCATTTAGAGCACTCACCTATGCGTAGCGTGCCATTAATAAACCGATCAATCATGATCTTGAAACAGAAACAGATTCGCCTGCATTCGAAACGGCTAAGTGATATCTATGACGGAGCCAGAGGGAAAAGCGTATCGCGTATTAACGGTGAAAATCAATGGATGATTGCAAGAAGGTCTGCGGAAAAGAGAGTAGCAAAGGCCGTAGGAAAGACGAAGGAACACCTCTCGAGGAAATCGCAAAGACGTGACCGATGATTATCTTATCGTGCGGCGCACGGCATTGGCGCATCGGATCGGCCGCAATCACGGCCGGGTTATTTCTGTATGCACCAGGAGGAAGGAGTTGGCATGCAAGAACGAGAACAGGACGAGAGGAGCATGAGGCAAAACCAGAAGAAGCCCGCAACGTCTCAGGGAATAGAAGCGAGATGCTGCTGCGGGCCTGCGACTGCAACGGCCACGCGGCTGCAAAACGAGGAGTTCACCGTGAAGAAAGAAAAGGAAAAGGACGAGGAACTGGCGCCGGCGCTCCGCGTTTCTAAGCAGTCTCTCGGCATGCCCGTTGAAAATTACCCGGACGCACGTGAAAATTGCCTGCCGGCGCGCGAGAGGCAGTCGCGGCTGACAGCGTAGACGAGCGCGACGCCGTCGCGGCGCCCGACGATTTCCAGATCGTAATTCGCCGGGGGAATTGGGTACATGTGGATAATTTCGACTACTTTCAAGACTCGAGTTTCGAGATTTCTTCTTATCGCGCTATAATCTCGCATTCGCGGTCGTTCGCGATCACAGGCACGCGACGCAACGACTTTCTGCTCTTGCGAGGATCTTTGGCGCCGAAGTTCGCCTCATTATTCAGCGCACTTGCAAAACGCTCGTTTAAGATATTTTATAAATATTTCATTGAGGTTATCTCGAGTTCAAAAGTTTAAAATAAATAGAGAAATTTATTCTACTTAAAGTTATTTTGTTTTGATCAATATTAATCGTTTTGAAAGATATACGAGATAAAAATATAAATTCGCATTTCCTGTTTCTTACTGGGAATAAATTTCGCTTATGTGATTCCTTGGCAAATATATACTAATAGAAGTCATAGAGGCAAATTTATTCCATGTCTTTTGTAATACTTCATCGATGTCAATGACCACTCGTCGGAAACGCGCATGTATGAAATCGTTTTGAATAACGTCGGTTTCAATTCTACATTGGCATGTCTTCTTGAAAAAAAATATCTGTTGAGTGCGGTCAGTTCTATGAAACTGATTTCATGATTTCATCATGCCGGACATAATATTCGTACAACTCTAGGTATACATCTTAATTGAAAGCATAATAAGATAAAAACAAAAAGCGGTAATTAAAAGAAATTTTTCATATTGTATGTTTTTTCATATTGTATTGTTTCATATTATATGTACACGACATTATTTTTTAATCTTAAATGCGACATAAAGTTTCTCTTACTAAAAATATCTTGTTTACTTGGAATTTGACATGCATACGTAACTGCAGACATGATGTTCATATCTACGTCAGCACTTTTCTCTTACTCATAATTTTGTCATGTACAAACACATTATCGTGAAACTGAATTTTGAAGAGAAAATATGATATAATGATGATATTTTTTTTCAATATACATCTGTTTCTAAATTATTCGTATTATGTATTAAACATTATATCTTAAAGAGTTTAATCTTATTTGAAAAGATTATAATAATAAACTTATAATGATAAATAATTTGGATATATATGAACAATTTATTATGTCCAAATTATTTTTATTAACTCAAATTATCAGATCAATACACGTGATTGTGTTAAATAATTTATTTAAATAAATTCAGTATGAGTAAAGAATGTCTTCTCTTTGTGCTTTATCGATATTGTAAAATTACAATGTACAAACACGTTTCGCGTGTTTGCACGTCTTCCTCATTCTTTTCACAAAAGAAGCAACGATTGTCACATCGCTTGCACAATGTGAGAATTGTTATATTTCCTCATGCACATATTATAAAAATTATATTGGCATTTTTATTTGTCATTTCTACATCATTTAACGATTATTTTTTATAAAAACTACTCTCCAATAAGATCAGAAGAAACTAGCAGCATTTTATTTAGAAAAATGCAATGTATTATTAATGAAATAGTCGTTACAGAGTATACTATCGTTGAATAGATTTTGTTTCCATGATAATAAGTAGATTCTATTTAGATCCTGTTTGTCTTTCTTTTGAGATCAAACTTCTTCGTTGCGCCAGTTCGTTTCTTTCGCGACGCTGCTCGAAGTCAGTCATTTCAACGGAAGAGCAGGTTCTTACCGTAGATTCCACCACTTATTCCCCGATCTAGGGATGGATGGTATCTTCATGTTCATGGAACATTCGCGGGATCCTTGGAAAAATGCAAGCTATTCCTGGCGTATCCGCTCTGACAGTCGGATGGTAAAAAGTTGAAGATGGATATGCAAGCTTCTTTATAGATGATAGAATTGCAGGAAGCAACAAAAATAATGTAACAATCCAGAAAATAAATCTTCCTTTCAGATAATAAAAATTGATAACATGAAAGAGCATCTTTTGAATAATGTATCTTCAATCTATATTATTTGTTTTACTTGCCATATTTATGTTTGATCAGATTATTTATCACAACGAATTTAATAACAAATTCCTGTTTATTTTTATAAAAATTTAATATTATATATTCGTCAAAGACGGGTTGTTTATTTGAACAAAATATTGAGAAATAAATTCAAATTAAAAAGAAATATAGCTCGCGATGTCAAATTAGTCTCCATCAAAAATATTTCATACTTGTCTTATTAATTATATTCGTGCTGCACTAAAAACATCAAACTTGAGAATTTGACATATACATAGCTAAAAATTATTACCTATGTACTGTAACGGATAATAGATGTACGTGTATTGTTCAACATTAAGCCGTTGAGTACCGTTTAATGCGCTAACTGCTGAAACACGCGACTTTGTTCCGCCGTCATGCATTATTTCGCGCGAGGTCTATAAGGCGTGACAGAAGCGTCATAGTCGTCGGGCGTTCAGTGGTCACGATATCGCTTGCGATTGCCGACGCAATCGCATTCGAAGAACGACGAAAAAGACAGAACTACCGAGCTGTCCTTGCGCCGTCATGGCACACGCGGCGAAGCTACATTATATTATATGTTTATGGATGACGTGGTGAACGGTTTTGTCCGTCGGTACATGTCGACTAATGAAACGGTGACATGTAATGCGATAAGAGAGCCGTGAGCTCCAGCACAAAGAGCGATCTCTGTTTAACGCAGGTAGGGCGTTATCTTCATTCGTTGCATTCGTCGGTTGCAAGAGTGGCTGGATATCCGGCGAGTTGACAAAAAAATTTGAACAACGGTACATATGTCGTTATTGCGATTATTGTCGGTATTGTTGATGATGTATGGTGATTATTACAATGCTCTAGCAAATAAGCAGGAAGAAACATCATAAGCAGGAAGAAACATCAACAGTACTTCTGATTATACTCACAGCAATACTGTATGGTATTATTAGAATAATTAAAAATAATATTATAAAATTATTTAATAATTTTAAAAACAATTTTTTTACATATAAATATTTATATAAACTGAAGATATGATGAATCATATGGAAAGTTTACATCAACAGAGTCGATTGACTTCGGGAGACTAATAAATTCTGTGGGAAAAAATATTAGATAAAAAAATTTGAAAGTAACATTGGAGACGTGGGTATTATTAGAAATCATAAAAAGTAGCACTTGATCGCAACGATCCGTGGAAGTCAAGGCCAAGTATAATCTGTCCCTCATCGGAAGAGTAATATTTTATGATAATAACATATGTGCTTTCCAATTACGATTAGTATTAGTTTTGATGGGATATTTCGAAAATGTGTTATTATAATCTTATTTAGGAAGGACAAATGTTTTGTTAACATAAATTTCGTTAAGAATTGGAGAAATTATCGAAATGTATTATTTCAAATTAAATATATTAATTCAATTTGTGTTTTGCCTTCATACATTAAGTACGATGGTAACTAATAAATATTTTCGAGAGCATTTTGCGAAATAAAATTCAATATTCGTGTGTTACGGTTACTGATATCACACTACGATTAGAAAGTGAGCGGTTTAAAATATCATCCGTATCGGATTTTGCAGGCTATCATTATTTAAATGTATATTTCGAAAATGTAACTTACTGACCTACATCCACCATATGTTGAAGAGTCGGAAAACGCCTCTTAACACGGAGCGAAATCCTTTGCAGTGTAATGACGTACGCGAGTACGGCATACCTCACAATGTTGCGTCTCATCAACCGCCCCCGTTCATCCTGAAACAGATGAACAAAGATTCATCGATTATACTTCATGATACATTTTTTATTAAACACGTTTACTGCATTTATTTTTTTTTTTTTTTACTAACCGATCTCGTGTAATAAACGTTCACGCTAATAATCTTAGATCTGTTCGGTCTATCAAGTTTGAAAAATTTATCATTTTAATAAAAGAGCGAATTCGCAATGAATCGGTATTGGTAGCGAAAATGGCGTTGACTTTAAAATTCGTTTCAATAAATGCCAGACACGTTTTCATGTCTCGTACATACTTTCCCCTTGTTCTCTTGGCTCAACGATACGAGCTTCTCCCCGTTCACGTTGCAAGAAGCACTATTTTAAACTGTTCTAGTATTAATCGGAGGAAAACCGGGTGACGACCTGCCATTTTCCTTTCTTTCTTGGACATTGGCACGCACTTTTGTAACCGATCACGCGTTTTGCAATCCGCTGACGGTCGCAATCGCTCGAAAGAATATCAATTTAATCGGAAATGATCGACAATGTCGACAGTCACATGATTTTCTGTGTGCTCAAATTGTCACAACGTTGAAAAGAAATTAAGGATCAGTATTTAAGATTTTAATTTACACCGAAATATGGATTAATAAGTAAGAGTGATGAAAGTTATCTTATAGTTAGAAAATCTCTTCTTTATGACGACAAGACTCTGTGCCACACCGATGCCTTATACATTACACATTAATTAATTCGCGTCCAAGAAGGTTCCATGCATTCCTCACTCGCGAGGATAATGAGTTATAAACCTTCTCAAACACGTATAGCTTTAAGAGATTACAGCAAGTTTTATTGATTACGGTTATAAAGTCATGTTGGAAAGTATTTTAGAGAAAAACCGCAATAATATTTCATTCTTAAAATGACTCCTTTCTCTTTCCGCATTTCTGATCTTTCTGAATTGGATCGTCATTCAATATTCGATAACCGTTATCTTTGCGATCGCTTTTTCGTCATCTTTCACTTGCACGTACGAAAAACGAGACAACTCTTTCCTCGGAATTCAGCAGTTTACTCGTCGCGCATGTAAAAATGCCCGGCTTGGCAGCTTGCAAACGACCCTCCTCGCGGGGAAAGGTAGCAGCCGAACACCGATCGTCTCGTCTTGCGGAGCTCTTGCATTCCAATTAGATTTCAATGAAAGGTGCAGCTCAGAAGCCCATGTTGACTACCGCAGTACCGCTCATTCACAAATCGGACACTTTGTATTACGCGATTACATGACCATGGGCGTATGTATATAACCGTGGGCTCGTTCCGTAGCTGAGGACCTTGTCCCCTACCTACGTGCAAAAATTCCATCAGAACTCGTCGTTCTTAGAGATCCGCTGCATCGTTTACGAGCAATACATGCACCTTGCGCTGTGCTTCGGATCGAAAATTTGCGAAAGAACGTATCAACCGGTCACAATAATTTTAAGTATCATCAAACACTCTTAGTCAATCTTTATCCCATAAAAACTGTTAATAGAAACTTAATTGTTTTTGAAGACATAATTTATGGGAAAATATCTGTTCATTTTAAATTTATTTAAATTATGTTTAATATATGTATTTACATCTTCCTATGTAGAAATAAATATATTAAATTTTATTTATAACACAAATTTGTTATTCTGTAAGTAAATTTATCGATAATGTCGAGATAGCGTAAATATTAAGAGACCATGATGAATTCATGAATCATCAGCTGAAGAAATCCGTTATTGTATATAAATGCGATAATACTTCTCGCATAAAAATGATGAAATGACAGTTAAAAGATAGACAAACGGAATGCAGCGAAATTTATGTGGTAAAATAAGTGCTTGTATCTTTCTCCAACATTGCAACGTAAATAAATATCAGAACACTATGAAATTAATCCAGCGTTTTTTCATGTTCTGCGGAGTAATGCTAGGTGTAATGAGACACCTAGCTTCGATTTAAAGATCTATAACGATATTTTCAACAGAAATAACCATACGCATGGCGAGACATCGTGCAATCAAACCACTTTTTCTCGAAACTTTCTCGAAAATTGTTGCATTTTGGACGCACGTTCCATACGATTTAATAGATAAAATTAGTACTGAGCTAAGTGAGTAAGACGAAGAGGATGGTTGCATAAGAAAATGATTAAATTGTTTAGTAGCGATCAATCGACTCTCGTTCTATTAATGTAACGCTGGCGCCGGTAGCAATTGAGAATTGCAAATCGTCCGCACTTAGCACGAATTTAATGCCTGACCAATAGATATGTAATAATTATATCTATTTTATTAGAAATCCATTAAAATAATGGATTAATATGAAAGAAGAATATGGAATAAGTGAATATGAGGAGCGTTTGTGTGCATGACGTGGGCGCGTAGGTTCGTCCTTCTTTTTTGTCACGGTACGTTGCACTTTCACTCCGACACTGAGTCATTGACCAGAACTAGAAGCTTGCACCAAATCCATTCCGTTGTCCAAATTAAAGTTCTCCAACTCATAAAACTATTGTCATTAAATAATTTAAGAAAATAATTAAGAAACATTCTGTTAAAAAATGTATTATACATAAATGATCAAATTGTGGAATTACAATTGCTTAAAATATTAGAAGTATTGAAAATATAACATGTTTTTAACATATTATATAGATAATCATATCTAAATTGTTACAAATAGTTACGTTTTGATTTAAGAGGAATAAATTATCGCTAAATAAATTTACTTATCACAATTAGACTAATTAGAAATATAAACGGAATAATATTTATGCCAAGGCAAATAATACATCATGCTTCGATTTTCGGTTATGCTACCTATGTAAGAAAATAAGAAAATAAATTTATCACCAACTGCCAGTTATAGAATCATCGTTCTAAACATTTTTTTTGGGTGTGACATGATTGGATTGGCACTTACTTAGGTTAACGACACCGAAACGTGTCACGGCGTATTCATTAGCGTAATGAGACCGAGTGTAACACGAGCGACTACCCAAAGCAAGGTTACAATTTATTAACACTATCATCTTTTCTCCCAAGAAAAAGTTAAAAACTGCTGAAAGTTTTTCTTTTCTATCTTTAAAATATTTTCGTTTCATTTTTATAAATAAGAATAGTATTTTTAAGCCTTTTAAGAAAAGTGCTTTGTTACCACTGTAATTTTAATCATCGTTGGAACGGACAAAGGAAACCTCTTCTAGATGGGCAGCTTCTACTTACATTTCCAGGAATGGCGGCGCTGATGAAGAGGGCCAGATTATCCGGCCAGGGTAAAAGCTTGTACTGTTCCCACCACCTTTTGACAACAAGGCTTACGTAGAATCCCAGGACGAATGACATGGGTATAGATTCACTGGAGTTGCCGAAGTAGTAGCGAATTTTTTCAAAAATTCTGCGAACAAGATAAGTATAACTTTTTTAACTATCTACGCAAATTTTTATTTGATATCTCGCTTTATATTAAAATAAAATTTTATACATCATTCTATCTTAATTTTTATATTATTATAATTAACACGTATAAAAAATTAATTAACACGTATAAAAAAAGTAATAATATATGAATAAAAAATGTTTAATAAAGAAATACAGAAGATTGATTTATTAATATTAACAATGTCTTTGATTGTTGTTAAAATCAAATTCTATTATAAATTAATGGTGTTTTCTGTATGAATTGTATATAAGTAGGGCAAGGTTGAGGTGATACCGTCACTCGCGTGCGCCATGGGCTATCGGTCTTACATGCTAATCAGTATTGGTAAATGGGAATTTATTTTCACGACTTGACTGCAAGCGAAAGCACGAATCTTCTTTATCGAAAGCGTATGCGAGACGAATCTGCTTCCTTCCTCGCTCCACTCAACAATATCGGTTATGCCTCGCAACGGATTATTTTAAGAAAAGCGTAATCACCACGCATAAAAATAGCCATCTTCACTTTTACGACTTCACACATCAATTCTGAGCGATTAACGCTGCGATTCCAAGATCTTTCAGTAAGTAGGTTTATGTTGGAATTTCCGCGAGTAACTGGCACCGCATTCGCACTCTTGAGGTAATATTGACTTACCGTTACCTGAACGTACAATATCATGGCCACAAGGAACTGATATTGATATCACACGTAATTCGAACAACGACACAGCAATATCGAATACTTTCTCGAAGAGACAAGACACGTTCACTGAAGCAATTCAATAATTTGGGAAAAAAATATTGTGTATGATATTCTCTATAACGACACGAAAAGAATTTTTCATTCTTCTAAAAAAAGATAAATTTAAATTTAAATTTGAGTGTTATAAGACTCTTGGAATCTTAACGAAGAATAATTAATCTTACAAACCATGCGCAGTTTACTTGGCCCTATTCAGTAATGCTGAATCGTTTATTTCATTCTTTACTTCGGACCCTAAACCTGCTTTAAACCATCTCTACGATTCTAAATTTAGAACGGACGAATCAAAGCAATTTAAAGGAGAAATCTTTTTACATCCTTGCGCTTTCTTCTGGCACTTCTTTATCCCCCTTTTTTAACTCCGCATAAATAACAGGTTACGTTTTTATGCCCTTTTTTAATGCCGGACACGAATCCCAACGCTTCCCCAACACATTCCATGATGTACCGTGATGTAAACTCTTCTACAGGACGCGTCAAAAGAACTTTTAAAAATCGTTGTTATATTAATATGAATAATCAATAAATTCATATTAACATATTTTATCTAAATTTTAAGAGAACTGTCATTTCCCTGCATTTAAAGATACGTAGAAACAAATAATAATTTTTTGAATACAAATTTCTCACATAATAATCACTTTTATGAAAATATGGCGTCGTTTAAAAGTAAGTTTATTAATATTTGAATATGTTCCATAATTATACTTGCAGTTACAGAGTCATTTGCATTCTCTATAGGGGGCCACTGATTGTTCTTGAGTGTGAATCATCCGTAGCGATTATAGTGATTTCACGACAGAGACATAAAAATGCATTTTACATTGCCAAGGATAGAATGCCTCGATTAATTTCACACACAAAGTCGTAAAATTGTTTGTAAAATTAGTATGTAACTTGTAATAATAAATGCTATAGAACTTGAGAAACATTGTTGATCTTAAACATTGTTTATCAACATTTAAAATTAAACAAAATTTCTTTATATTGTAAATCATTATTAATTAAAATATGAAATAGACCTTCGCATCTTTTAGTTCCTCAATTCTATGTTGAACATAACAATGAAAGGAAGAAAAGATATTAAGCCTGCGTCCTGCCTGATGAAAATGCAATGAATACTAATAAAAAAGGAATATTGTAAATTCTTTGACGTTAGCCAATGACCGTGATCAAAGCATTGGAACCTTCGGATTTGCCAACGGGCCAAGGTTGATATTATACAGGTTTATCTACACCCATAAAATACAGTTATGACAGACGCACACTTAAGCACTAGCTAGCTGACCGTCGAATTCGGCATTATTTGTGATAAGAAACACAACAAATTTATTGATAATCGGCAAAAAAATGGGATTAAATTCTGCTATTTCCTTTGTGCGATAAACAGACAAACGTTCTCTGCAAAAGTATGTAATTTGTACATACAATGAACATATTTCCTACCCCGCATCTCCTTAAGTTCAATCCGTAAGTTAAACCTAGTATTATGCTAATTGCGTCTCCTCCGAGATGATTGTATACATATAGAATTAAAATTATGACTGGGAATAATCGCCACCAAATACGAGAAAAAATTTAATTCGTGCAAAAACGTGCACCGCATTTTTCGAATGCCAACATACGAGGATATATTTTATTCCAAAACATTTCTTTTCCATTTCTCTTTCTTTTTGTTCCTTTATAAAGAGTGGACTTTATCAGACTTGTACTTTAATTACGGGGGTACTCACAGCCGTTGGTGATCATTGAGCACATATCGATATGTAAAATTGATGAGGTAGTAGAAGAACAGGTACGCCAGTAGTTCTCGCCAGATTAACTTGTAAACGGAGCCACGCCATCTGTAAAAAAAAAAATCAGAAAGTTTATACTAATTGCATAAATAAATATTAGAATTTCTACATCACCGCAAAAATTTATCTTTTAATTGGACCATAAAATCTTTAATTTTTTTGAAAATCAAATCACATAAAATATTTGTGACAATATAAGTTTCTTTCGAGAGTGAGATTACATATTAGGATTATTATTTCTAATTGGATGAAAAAACAGAAGAGATCTTTAATAAATCACCTTAACACTATTTGTCAATAATATAAAACTATATAGGCCTATTCTTTCTAGTTGAACTTCTTATTTTCTCCGTTGGAGAAAAAAAGAAAAATATTAGTAATGCAAATTCAGCTGGAAAAAATAAGTTTTATTTGATATATAACAGCCTTATTATTTCTCTAATAATATGAACAAAAACACAGTTGAAACCAAAACACAGTTAAACCAAATGTACCGATATTCTCTCGATCGTGTTCTCCTAACGACTTTTTACGATTTTATTTTCTAGCGCGTTCGTTTCCCATGCATCTCTATCTACGTATCATTATCATTGACACATTTGTGAATCATCCGATTAATAGTCGATAGATAAATTTTCTAGAGTACAACTATATTTTTTACATTCGATTGTGTATAAATCCTTGATAAAGGATTGGTACCAACAATTATGAGAAGGAAGAGAGAGAGAAAGAGAGAGAGAGAGAGAGAGAGAGAGAGAATTCCATATTGCGTAAATGTGAAAAAAGAGATATAAAGTAAACGCTTTATATCTCTTACGCTGTTTGAGAATTATAGATGCTTTGTACTCTAGTTCAGAAATTATTAGCAGTAAATACCCGTGACACGTGGTTATAAATTATAATAATGATAAGAAGAGCTTCTCCATTCTTGAATAGAAAAACAAGCAAAATCAATCTTCATTTCCGAGTACCATCCGGACTTCCTCATCGCGTGAATAAACTTCAAAGTATCAGCCATCATGTGTGCTCTTTTCTCTTTTTCAGTGTATACTTACTTTTACTTAAATGTTTCGGAAATATCATGCGCATCGGCACTTCCTAATGCACTCTATGCTTTCAACGTTTTCGCACTATTGCACGCACGATTGCACGCGTGAAAAGTACTGTCATGATTTATTGATTAATTTCAAAGTATCATGGATATTAATAAAACGATGATGCATCGTCCCGCATGACAGACGCATAGGAAACAAGTTTTGTTGAAAGGGAAAGAAAGGGGATACAGATAGACAAATTATCTCATTATTTCACTTTCAACGAGCCATCAATACGATCGGTATGAACATACAATCGGTAACAGCTAGATCATTCTGCAAAATCGTAAACGGCATATGCGCTTCGAAACTAACTAGAGAATTAGTGAAAAGTGTGTCACGGCTAAATCGATTTTATGAGTTTCGAAGATACGCCATTCGTATGTAATGTTTCCCGAACATGAATTCGCCATGAATATTTTATGATAAAATCTGATAATGGTCATTCGTTAATAGTGACGTAATGGAAAATGTTAAAAATGATGTTTATTCAATAATTTTATCTCTTGCATTTCCTTCCAAATGTCTCTTACCCATAAATTAAAAGTTCTTTTACAACATTCAAGAATAATTTAGCTACTGAAAGAAGGACCTCAAATACGAAATCTTATAGGTGCAAATGAGGTCAGAATGAAAAGCAATTCACAAGTGTTGTAAAGTAGATATGTCAACCATTGTTTGATAATAGAGCTATGAACTGTGTCATTTGTTTTCATTCATATGGAAGATGAATGACTTATTTATTGAGATTTATTGACGCCTTGATTCACAATAACATTTTATCTCTATACAATTTCATTATTTGCAATACTCTCTTTTATATATAAATACACTCTATGTCTTTTATGTATAAATACGCTGATGCGTATATCAAAATAAGTATAATATTTAAAAATACAATATTTATTTGAAATAAAAGCATTAATCAATAATCATAAAATATCACGCTTCTCCGAAGGGAGAAAGATATGAAACCGGACATCCGCCGTATTCAGAACAGCTTGAGCGTGTGCTCAGAAAACCGTAACGGTATCGAGTGATTATTGTGCACTATAAATTCACTCGCAACTGACAAGGATTAAGAGCGACGAGCGAAAATCTTGAGAGAGTAATTGAGGCGATGTGTAAAGTGAAATAATAAATTGCGTTAACCGTTTAGATCAAAAGAATTCCGCCGTTATGGTCTTAGTGATTGTATTCCAATCGCTGGGATGGCGTAAACAAAATTATTTCCTTTTGATAGCGAATCTCATCAGTCAACCTGTAATTACGGGAAGCTGCGGCGCCGTTGTTAACCATATTTTTTTAACGCGCAATTCACACTAATCAACATTAGTGATCATCGCGCGATCACAAATTGCAATTTTGCAAAAATAACGATGAAATTGGCATACACATACTTACATGGGACACAATTGCGCGTCTTTAGTCACCGATTAAGCTATTTGCTTAGCGTATAGCAAATACTCGTTACTCTTGATGTTCATTGAACAACTTAAGCGAACTGTTACGTGGAAATAAACGCGAATACGTTTCTTATTAAATGCTAACAATAAACGTATTAAAATGCTTTCGTAGAATAAACTTATATAAAATGCATTTAAATTATCGATTAAGCTGCAAGTCATGATTATAAATGCTATTTTATTCTTATGGATCACCTTTTACGAACAATCGTTATCTTCTTACAATACTAAATTGTACTAGCAAGTACTAATATCTCAAGATTTTCTTTCCATAGTGTTACGCAATTAATAAAGGATATTCTTTTAGAGAGATACACGTTGCAAATTTAGTTAATAATTACTTCTAAGGATAATAATCTATCAATAAATTTAGAATTTTATTAGTCAAGCATTTAAATGTTTAAATAAACTCATTTACATTACAATTAAACTGTTAGGAATTTTCTTTAAAAATAAAATGCGTACAAAATATATTAAAATTAAGCTATTTAGTCTTATAAAAGGATATACAAAAAATATTAAATAAAAAATATATTTATAAATGTATTTTTTTATATATAAGTTACATAAATTATTTTTACATAATAATAAAATGTTGAGAAAACTTATTATTACAAATTATGTTTTCAAATATTATTATAAAAAATTTTCAATAAAAATAAGACACTACTTTACTTTTTAACTTAATTTTGAGGAATTACGACATTTTTGAAACATCTTTTGAAATGTTATATATACAATATTAATATAAATATTTGTAACTGAGTTTGGATCTTGATTCTGCATTTCTTCAACGAGATTTATTAATTATACAACATCAACAGCATTACGCGAGATTCCACTTGCCATCAGGGAAAATAAAAAATCGCTTTTAGGCTAAACGCTGAATGATGAGACATCTGTTGCGATATATTGAATAACAACGGAAGGGCATTTGATTATTTCGCTATTTGTATGTCACTGGGTCATGGTAGGAAGCAATGTCCCGTGCTTTTCATATACGTTATATATATATATATATATATATATATACGACGGCACGCCCGCAAATTTTTCCACGTGTTGCATACATGCGTGTACGCATATGTACATTCATGGATAACATAAGTCATTACATCGCGACTAATCGGGAGAAGCCTTTGTCACTATCGTTAATCGAGCCACGAAACTTGTTCGCCGACCTTCGTCTGGTTTATAATTTCTTTCCAAAGGTGAAGACTAGCACGGCATTAAAGAATTGATAATAAATTTTCTATGCAAAATTTCACATACAAAGTCATTAAATTGTTAATTACCGGTATATATTTATTATAATCATAGATACATATATTTAAATATACTTTATTAGTGTTGTATACAATGTTGTTTTAATTTTTTACATTTTAATTATTTAAAAAAATAAATGTACATTTATTTATCAATCTTCAGTATATCTAACTATATCAAATATAATCAATTTTAAATACATTTTTACATATTATATTACATTTTTACATATTATATATTATAACAATTTTCATTTTTTTATATTTCATCTTCTATATTGTTACTAACTACTTTATTATCATGAAAAAGAGATCGAAACATTTTAATATTATTATGTATGAAAACTGATATATATTAAATTTATAATTTTATAATAGTATTTTATTAGCTAAGAATATTATATTTTTATCTGATTTTGTTCAGTAATATATTGATTCATAATTGTGTAAATTAAATTATTCGTGGAATAATAAATTCAAATCGATATATTCTTAGATACATGCGATATACAAGATAATAATTTATCCATATTTTTTTATTTACATGAATCAAGTATAATTATATAAATACATATTGATCCCTCTTAAATATCTTAATCAGTTAGTTGATTTATAATATTACACGTAATGAAAGATAAACGTAATTACATGGTTGATATACTGATGCTGCTGCATAGTAAACTGTAAACGATGCATCATTAATTGCATCATAATACACATAATACACTGTATGATAGATGTTAATAACAATCTAATACTTCAAAAATATTAAAAGCAAAAATCAATAAAAATATAATTTAATATTTCTAAGAAAGTGATATTTGACCAATCTGATAACAGATTGATGTATTCAAAGCCCAAACACATTAAATTTAGGATCTACATCTAAAGTGTTAAATTTGATGAGCCATGCCAGACATTTGCATATAAAATATTCTATTCTTATTCAGTTTAGAACTTAGCGAATCATCTTCGTGACATGACATGACATTCTCATATTTTTATTTCCTTAGTTAAAACTAGTCCCCAAGTCTGATTTCAGATAAAAACTATTCAACGTTACTCTATACAATTTTCTAGCTGCTCACTGCATATAATCGTGAAGAATATGATTTATTTTTAATAAAAAAATAATGATTATTTTGCCAGTATTGATAAAACATACACAACTAACATACTCTCGCAATAATTAGTAAAAGATGCATAGTGCGAACGAGGAAATC